CCCAAGTCAGGCCCTGTGTGAGACCTCCCTGAACAAAATCGATAGGTTCTTCCTATTTTTTTTTTTTAAACAGCTGGTACACACTTTAGGTCATAATTATTTATTTTAATTCCAACAAGACATTTTATTCATTCTTATAGACCCAGAACTTAGCAAATCCTCAATAAATGTTTGCTGACTCACTAGAAAAAAAGAGGATCTTCTATATGAATTATTGTGCAAAGAGTTTTATAATTTATTGGGTATTGGGTCATCTTGATTTTACATTTGCTGGTCCCACATCACTAGTATTTATTGAAATACATTCAATCCTTTTTGTCTCAGTCATTGTACAGCAACCTGCACATGGGAAAGCTACTATGGATTTAGATTAGTTGGAGCCAACAACTCAAATGACTAGAAGTTTCATTGCTTTCTTCCAGTGTTATACCGAACTATTCTACCTTTCTCAAAATTTGGTGGGAGGAAAAAAAATCCTCAATCAACAAAAACTACACAGGATGAAAATGAAGTCTTTATTTTAGTTCTCCTAGAGCAGTGCTTCTCAAACTTGATGTAGATCTACTTCATGTTGGGATCTTATTAAAATGCAGATTTTGACTCTGTAGGTCTGGGGTTAGGAGATCTAATATTCTGCATTCCTAGAGGTCAGGGCTATTGGTTCGTAGATCATACTTTGAGTAGACCTAGAGACCAACTGGTAAGGGTGTTAGTGACACATATGAGCGTAAGACAAATAAATATTAGAAAACTTGGGACACACTTATCTCAGGTTTAATGGATTTGCTTTTGGGTTATAGCTGGTTTTCCAATTTGGTTGCCTAACACAGAGCTTGCATCAGTTGTGGGTTGAGAAATGGGACAACTTGTTTCCTTTGCCATTTATCCCACAGGCCATTCTGAACAGAGGCATTGGGAGATCAGCCCTAACACACTGATAACTTTCATAAAGCCACAGATATGTGAAAGGAACAATGGATCACTGATTTGTGTGTTGTTTTTACATCTACATCCCGTGCTAAAGCCCACATTTTTGGCAATTGAACCTGATTTCTTAACTGAGTCGGGAAACCCTTGACCCACTGACATTATTCTATATTATTTTAATCTGAAGATATGCGAGTTGATAAGAGACAGCACTACATACCTTACATGCTTGTTTAAGCATTTAATGAGAATTTCATATTTACTCATACTAGAATAGACGTTTCTTCACATAAAGAGCTTGAAATCAAAATGGTGAGATGTTAGCTCCACTACAGAGGCATCTCTGATGACAGTGCAAAATAGAAGTACCCAGTGCTGAACTGTGGGGTACAATCTGCATTAAAACTTCAATGGACTAGAATGAATTTAATTTGGAAACTTTTAAAGTTTCATGATGAGATAATTAGAGATAATCTAGGGTATCAATAAAATGATGAAAAAGTAATCTGACTCACTTTCAAAGACCACAGCTCAATCTCAAGGGCAGGGAGTCTGACCAGGGTAAAACGGGTCCCCATAGCACTCTGCTATGATAGATATTTATCCTCTGTGGTACAGCTAGCCTACATTGTTAGTTCTTGGTGTAGTGGGGAGCTAGTGGTAGTCATTCACACTTAAGTTCCTTATCCCATCAGCCTGTAGGCAAGTATGAATGAGTAACACACACACACACACACACACACACACACACACACACACACACTTTAACCTCCTGAGAGTGGTGAAGAAAATAAGTTTAAGGTTCTGAGAGATGTCTTGATTGCCCATTTTAAGGGTAATTTCTTCCTGTCAGCAGTGGTTTCTTCATGTTGCCATCAGATATCTCAAAGGAATGAATGAAGAAATAGTAAGGATAGAAGAAAAGTCAGTTTCTGCTTTTTAAAATTAAAAGAATGCAGACCATTATGCTGAACATCTTAAGCTTCTACAGTAATGCGTGTCAATGATTTCACAATAAAACTGGAAAAAAACACATTTAGGTGTTATATTTGACAAATTATAGTCAGCATAAGTTATTAATCAATTTAGCCACAAAAATAAAAGAATAATCAAAGGGTTACCAGGTCTTTCTAAATTGGCAGAGATGTGACATATGGTGCAAATATATTCATATTTTTAAGATTAAATCCTAATTCTGAGAGTCCTCTTTCCTCTAATTTGGTGGGTCCATTCACAGAGAAGCTAGACACAGAAGCTCTGAGTAAACTACAGGCATTGAATTCATCCCCCTTCCCCCAGCTCTCCTCAGAACAGTGGGAAAAAGGGGTTGTCCCTAGTTCAGGAGGGAGGACTCCTATCAGAGACTCCAGTGAGAAAAGGTTGTCAAAGTCCCTACAGTGAAGGAATCTCGGAGACACTAATGGGAGTGCCTGCTGATTTTAGAAATCAACTGACGACTAAGCTTTTTGTTGGAAGGAAGTCCCATGTAAGTTGGGCTGATTGCTAAGTAGCAGCATTCATGAGATGAAGCAAAATTTGTAAACGAGGAATATGTTGTCACCACAATCTAGAAAGGACTGTGAGATGTTGGACTTGTATGTCCTTTGTGTGTTTATCAAATCGATCTCCTTGGAGGTGATTGCCATCAGTACCGTTTAATACCTGGAGAGAGGCAGATGCAGTTAAGATCTTGTTTCCAGACAGTGTGATGACAAAGTTCATGGCAAGCCTAGAAAAGGTGTAGTATGTGACTTGAGAGGTGATGACAGACTGTGGCTGAGAGACTGTTGAAATAGGCACTGAAAGAACATATTGGCTCAATCTATAATAGCAAATATTTACCAGCTGTTGATTAGAGGCAGTTAGTCATTTCAATAGAAAATGAGTATAAGATTGAGTATTGGGTATGGGGACTTAATGGATAGATCACAGCATTAAAGTTGTAGTAGTCCATCATTTTACCATTCATTTTTCCCCCCAGGTTTAAGAACTGGAAATTTTTGGCTTGTAAATGGAGAAGCAATGTGGATAATCATTCCTTTGTTAATTAGACTTTATATATTAACTAGAGGCCCAATGCATGAAATTTGTGCAAGAGCAGGCCTTCCTTCTCCCGGCTGCCAGCACCAGCTTCCCTCTGGCACCTGGGACCTGGGCTTCCCTCACAGCCCCAGCTTCATCCAGAAGATCTGGTCTAATTAGCATATTACACTTTTATTATTATAGATTTTTAATTCCTAAAGGCCCTGCTTTAATTTATAGTGGGCCATTTTAAGTAGGGGTCCATAGGGTTGCATTTTATCAAGCAATTTGTAGCTGCCAAAGATTTAATTCAATTTTAATTATTACTCATCTCTCTGGATGGCAGTCAGCCCCCTCTTCAAAGCACTGGTACCCACTGCCCCTGAAGTTTTCCTTTCTTTCATTTTTGGTCTCCTACCTGTCCTCAACTGTTGTTTTTTCTTTACTTATTTACAGCTTAACTCCTGGTTATCCCAGGGGCCCTGTCAATGGGTGCTTCTATTGGCCCGATCTAGGGAGTTCCATTATCCAGTAAAGAGTCTAAATCCTCTTCCAAAGAGAGTGACAGTGGCCAAATCATACCCACAAAAACAAGACCACAAATCGTATCTGTCCTAAGTTACCAGCCAGAGTGATTGTTTGTGACTGGAGTGGAATGAGCAGCAGTTCCTGCACAGTACCCCAGCATCTTAGATGCCCGAATCCATTGCATGATCCCCTCAAGGGTATTAGGCAGAGATGAAGAATAAAGTGCTTCCCCTTCGTTTCCTTTTTGTTGAGAATTGTGCCACCTGTTTCCAAGAACGTGCAGTTTGTCCCCCACTGGGCCAGGGAACAAATTGCAACAACACAAAATTTAAGTCCAAAACAACACCTTGTGCCAGGTGCCATGGTTTCTGAGTGGCCGTCCACCCAGTGATCCTGTGTGTGTCTGGTAATGGAAGTGCCTACAAAGGCACTCTCTTTACTTGCCACGCAGGCTGAAGTGCAGGAAAAATGGCCATCAGCTGCCTTCCACATACCAGTACTGACTGGTGACTGATCAGACCCTTCCCCCAGCATTTTCCCTCACAGATCTCTCCCCTTCCAGGAGCCTTCTGTAAGCCTCGCTAGGCAGTATAAAAAGGGGTGTCCCTGGGAATCATCCCAGAATCTAGGTAAGTAGACCAGCCCAGATCAGAGCTCAGGGAGGACTCAGTTTTTGAGTTCTGGATTTAGGGTGGGAGTTAGGGGCAACACCTCACAAACACAACAAACAGCGTTTGCAGCCACAGCATAAGCCCATACCAGCTGGAGGGTGACTTCCCAACCTGCCCCTGCCACCTAGTGGAACCAGTTAGGAAGGCATGAACAGTCTAGTGATACACTAGTTTTGCCTTGTCGGGAATTCACTTTCTGTGGTTTCATTTACCTGCGGCAAACTGTGGTCTGAAAATATTAAATGGAAAATTCCAGAAGTAAAGAATTCATAAGTTTTAAATTGTGTGTCATTCTGAGTAGCACGATGAAACCACATGCCGTCCGGCTCGATCCCTGCCGGGAGGTGAATCATCCCATTGTCCTGGATATCCACCCTGGATATACTCCCAGCCTCTTAGTCACAAAAGAACCTTCTAGGTTATCAGATCAACTGTCACAGAATCGCAGTGCTTGTGTTCCACTAATCCTTAGTTTACTTAATAATAGCCCCAAAATGCAAGAGCAATGCTTCTTTTAAGTGAAAAGTTGTGTATGTATAGCAAAACATAGTACATATAGGGTTTGATACTACAATATATACAGTTTCAGGCATCCACTGGGGGTCTTGGAATATGACCCCCATGGATAAGGGGGGATCCTATATTCCACTCAAGTCTGAGGTCAAACCAGTGTGTCTGAGGCTCACTGCACCAATTGTTTTAAATATAGGTTTCATTATTATTTAGGTACAACAAAGCCAACTGATCCTGAGACAGTTGTCACTGAAATAGTTTGTTCTACCCGGAGATCCCAAGAAAAGGGGCAACTACGCCACAGAGGGCCACGTGGGAAGCACCTGGGTCAATCAGAAGGTGGAGGGAGTCGGGGAAACATGGGCAAGAGCCTTTGCTGTGTGTCAAGTTTCCATATGTTTCTTACAAGGACATTTTTCATTGAATTTAGGGTCTACCTAGATAACCCAGGTTGATCTCATCTCAAGATTCTTAAATTAATGAAATCTGCAAAGACACTTTTATAAATACTAGAAGCCTGCTGCACAAAGATTTGTGCAAGAATGGGACTTCCTTTCCTTGGCTGCCGGCACCACCTTTGCTCTGGCTGGAGCCACCTTTCTGCTCCTGCTTGGAGCCGCCTTTCCACCTTCCCAGGCTGCCCAGAGGCCCGGAGCTGCTGGTGTGGTGTAGAACGCCTGTGTCATCACCATGGCAATGATGCAAGCATCCCGCCCCACCCCCAGTTGCTCTTTGCCTTTGTATGCAAATTAACCCACCATCTTTGTTGGGCTAATTTGCATGCTCGCTGCTGATTGGCTGGTGGCTGTCACAAAGGTATGGCGAATTAGCATGTTACTCTTTTATTAGGTAGATGGTAACACTCACAGGTTCCAGGAATTTGATATATATATATATATTTTTTTTTTTGGAAGGACTATTATTCAACACCTTTTTAAAAAAATACATATTTTATTGATTATTTTTACAGAGAGGAAGGGAGAAGGATACAGAGTTAGAGACATCGACCAGCTGCCTCCTGCACACCCCCTACTGGGGATATGCCCACAACATGCCCTTGACCGGAATCAAACCTGGGACCCTTCAGTCTGCAGGCCGACACTATCCACTGAGCCACATCGGTTAGAGCTATTCAACACCTTTTAAATACATCACAAATCTGACCAAATCTCACCATCTCCCCTGTTACCATCTTGGTCCCAGATGCCATCATCTCTCCTTGTACAGGGACAAAATCTTACTGGCTTCTCTGCCTCTATTCTTGCCCCTGATGGGGTTCAGAATAAATATCCCCAAAATATGCCACTTTGGCATGAGGCCTATTTTAGGCTAAAGGAAATCAAGACCCAGCAGACTCAGGAAAAACTCATTACTTACCCTTTAACTGTCTAAAAAAGTACAAATTTCTCATCTGTGGAGGAAATCTGCAGTTATAAAGGAAATTTACATTGGAAAGGGGCCTATAGCAGGAAAAAAGTTGTAACTGGAGATAATTTTTTTTTTAACCTAAGAAATGTGTATGCCTAACAGTGTGACTTTTGTCACCGAACATTTCCTACTGAACATTTCCTCCTCTCACCTTCCTGTGAACCTTTCTTCCCTTTGTAGCCCAGGCCCCTGTTCTTTCCTTTGCCCAGGGTCCTGGATTAGCCTTGATTGCCTGGCTGAGTCTCCTATCTTTAAGGGGCTCCCATGTGTGTACATAACTAAATTTGTTTTTCTCCTGTTACTCTGTTTTATGTCATCTCAACTGTTAAACCAGCCGCAGAACCTAGAAGGGTAGAAGAAAAATAATTTCTTCCCCTACCCACCTTAACCACACATTCTCCAAAACGCAGCCAAGATAACCTTTTTAAAACCCAAGTCAAATTATGCCACTACTTGGTTCATACACTCAATAGGCTCCCCTCTCTTGTAGAAAAACAAAGTACAAAGTTCTTGTCCTGGCTTGTGTCATTTGGCCTCTGGATTCCTCTCCCATTTTTATGCTGTATGACTTTCTGTTTGCTGGCTCTTCTCTTGGAATATTCCCTGGCCTCCTCAGGTGCCCTCCCCTCCAGTGGGGCCTCTTTTTCTTCAATATCTGTCCCTGGCTCCTTCTCTCCCCTTATCCAGGTCTCTACTCACTCAGATCTCAACTCTTTACAGAGCCTCCCCTGAAGGCCTTACCTAAAACAACACACACTCTAATTCTCTACCCTATAACACTTTCTGAGCACTTATGCCACACAGTGCTGGCATACATGTTCATTGTCTGTGTTCCTGAAGGCAAGAGCTTCTGTGCTCCACAATGGTGCCTAGATTCATGCTCGGCACACCATAGGCACTTACAGAATACTTCTTGTTGGAAGGAATAGATGGGTGAGTGAGTGAATGAATGAATCTGTTGAGGGTTTTTCTGATTAGGCTCATCTTATGTTTTGCCAAATTATCCCCAGCAGCTGTCCCATTTCTGAACTAAAGCTCACATAACAGCACTATCTGTGTACAGGGAGCAATGAGTGTAATTAAAAAATAATAATTTTAATGGAAGTATACTTAGTAGTTTTTACTTATTTTTTAAACAGAAGAACAGGGCTTGTTGAAGAGACTGTGGAATGGGGATTACAGTTAATTTCTTAGGGAAATATTGAGCAAGAAACAATCACAAAGACAATTCCTTTAACATCCTGCTTCCCAGCGGTATGGGAGATGGCCATTTCTGACTATTGGTTTGAGTTCTAGGTAATGGCTAATCCTGTTGAAATCATTATTAACAACTTATGGAGCATTTACTAAATTTGTAGGTACAAGGTTGAGAAAGAAAAAGGTGTCTAGCCGAAACCGGTTTGGCTCAGTGGATAGAGTGTCGGCCTGCCGACTGAAGGGTCCCAGGTTCGATTCTAGTCAGGGGCATGTGCCTTAGTTGCGGGCACATCCCCGGTGGGGGGTGTGCAGGAGGCAGCTGGTTGATGTTCCTTTCTCGTCGATGTTTCTGTCTCTCTATCCTTCTCCCTTCGTCTCTGTAAAAAATCAATAAAATATATATTAAAAAAAGAAAAAAGGTGTTTATCCTATATAAACAATGATATAATCAAATAAAGAAACGAAAACAAACATAAGAGAGTGTGCAGTGACACAATAAGCATGAGTGAGGACATAATTAGAGGTGAGCTGCTCAGAGCCAGATTATAAAAAGTATTCAATATCATGGAATTGTTGGGGGCAGCTAGGATGACATCAGGTATCAGACCGGTGGGGTCAGACCACACCTGGGTTCAGCAACCTTGGTACTTGAGGTCTAGGTAGAAAAAAATTCAGAGCTAAGACTCAAACTAGAAGAAAACGTTTATTTAGAAAATCAGAGGTAGAAATAATTTGTAGGAAAGAAATGGACTTAGGAAACAAGTTATTGAGGCAAAGAAAATGCCCTTGAGCTTAGAAGTGAGGAAGGTCAAAGGTGACATGCCTGAGGGAGATGAGGAGGTGCAGAGGAAGGGAAAAGTGAGGGGCGCGCTTCTAGGAGGAAAAGCCAACGGGGTTCTCCATCCTAAAGGTTTTGAGAGTGGAGATTTTAGGGGAAGTCCCAGTGGAAGATCTCAATAAAATATTCAGCAGCATTCCAGGTGTGTCCTTTCAGGGACTAGGTCTACACTGATAGGTTCGTCCTGAGGTCAGCCTTGGCTGATCTGGTTTTGTTGCTTTTCTGGGCCCTGGATCTGAAATACAACTGAGGCCTAGATGTTATCTCTAGGGAGGAAAGGTCAGGGGGTCTAAACTGAATGACCAGAGTTATGAAAGATCAGGTGGTCCAAACTGCATGACCAGCTATATGGTCATGGGGAGGATAGGTCCACCTGGGAAAGAGGTCCCATCCTACAATTGTCCATTGCTAGTGTGAAAGAAAAGAGCCACAAGCTAACCTGACAAGCTCAGGGAAGGCTTTCGTGGCAGTCTTGCAAACCCAGAGACCTAAAGTAACCACAAAAGATGGTTTGAAAATTAAATATCTAACAGGTTATAGTAGGTAGTCATGTCCCAGATATTTTCCCAGACAAAGATCAACTTTAATCTTTTTACTGAGCCCATTTGCCTTTTTGCCTCTAAGATAACATATCTGTGAGATATCTGGGTAACTTGTAACTTCCCTTTTTCCTGAGCCCCTGGGGAACAACCAAATGTGGTGGGTGCCAGGACAGATGCCTCAAATTCCTTCTTTATCATGTTAATTGTCCCTGCACTCACCTGAGTACACGTCCATCATTTTACTTTTTATCCAATCCCATGAGTTTCCCACCACTTTGCTTTCTCCCGCCTCCTTACTCCATCACCAATGGATTTCATGTAACCCACCTATGTCCCTGCTTTGATTTCAGTGTATAAATAGAAAAGTGTAGCTCTCCATTCTTCGGAGCATTATCTCAATCCCTTGAGGTTCTGCTTCCCGGCAATTGTCGACAATTTTGGCTCAAATAAACTCATTAAAAATTCTTTACAGGTTTCAATGGTTTTTTCGTTAACACTAGGCACCTGTGGCTTTCCATCCTGGTGACCTTCAGCATTTGGCCCATTGTCCTTGCTCTCTGCTCATGTCTGTCTAACTGCCTACCACAGAATGAAGAGCTCAGTGGTCCTCCTTAGTCCCAGACTCCTGCCCTGCTACTCTCCCCTGTTGAGGCACTGGATCCCAGTCGGTCCATAGTTCTCCAGCTACCTGGTCTGGCCAAGAATGGGCACCATTCTTAGAAATACAGGTGCTTCCACATGACAGCTGGCTTTCTTATCACCTATGGCTTGGAGTCCCTTGCCAGCTTCCTCACTGACTGAACTGGTGTTTTTCTAAGCTACACCTGAGCCTAACATCTACCTGGACAGGCCCGTGGCCCTCTGACTGCTGTGCTGGGACTGGCTTCTGTGGTCGCATCCATTTCCCTGTCTGTTCTAGTTCCAAGGTTTTTCACCTGGAGGGGCTCTGCCTACAGCTGGCTGTCCTCCTCTTCTCAGGTTCCTTCACTCCTCTCACTTGTGTCACATTAATGACCATGAGCAGAGCCAAATTTCCTCTTGGTGCTGTGCCCAGCCATCTCACGTGTTCCCTGGAGATGGCCAAGGACTGTAAGTTCCTCCTCCCTATGCACCTCATAGAGAATGCATGCATCTATTCACAGCATAGATTCCTGGGGGTGATGGTGAGTCAGGACAAGAAGAGTGACACAGGAGGTTCACATTCTCACTTCCCTGTCACTTGTCAAACCTTTCCTTTGAATGTTTCCTGCTAATACTTCTTGTGACCTCCATGTACCCAAAACTTATCCAACTAATACTTAGTCCTAATTTTAATTTTCCTGTTGTGCTAATTTACGATGCTTCCATGACAAAATACCACATACCAAGTGGCTTAAAATAAAATACATTTCTTCTTTCACAGTTTATGAGGCCCTAAATCTGAAATCAGGGTGTCAGCATAGTTGTTCCTCTGCGGACTCTGAGGAAGAGTCTGTTCTGTGCCTCTGTCTTACCTTCTGGTGGGTGGCTAGCAATCTTTGGAGTCCCTTGATCTGTGGCAACATCTCTCTAATCTCTGCCTCTGTCTTCAGGTGGACTTTTTCTTTTGGACTCTCTGTGTTCTTTCTTCTTCTTATGGTGACACCAGTCTTTAGATTTGGGGTCCATCTTGATCCAAAATGATCTCATCTTAATATTTATTATTTTCAAAGAGCCTATTCCTAAATAAGGTCACATTCTGAGATCTTGGTTGAATGTGAATTATGAGAAGTTGGGCACTATTTAATTCACTACTTCTTTCTAGTAGCATTTAACAAACTTTCCCTACACTTTCCCCATCTTTCTGGTCAACTTTCTCAATATTTTTCTACTTATAAGAAACAAAACAATTCACATGAATAGTTTCTCTTGGCAAGTCATCGAGCTTCTATTTCCCTTTAGATGATGGTTAGCCTCTCATGTAAACTTCCTGCCCAATCCTGAGAATGTTAGAGTTTGTGACTCCATCACATGTAGAAGACTTTCTACAGTCAGGATCAAGTTTACTGAAATAGTGACAGCACAAAAGATTTCTTTTCTTTTTTTAAATATATTTTATTGATTTTACAAAGAGAGGAATTGAGAGGGACAGAGAGTTAGAAACGTCGATGAGAAACATCGACCAGCTGCCTCTTGCACACACCCCACTGGGGATGTGCCCGCAACCAAGGTACATGCCCTTGACCGGAATCGAGCCCAGGACCTTTCAGTCCGCAGGCCGACGCTCTATCCACTGAGCCAAACCGGTCCCGGCAGCACAAAAGATTTCTACCATGCTGGGAAAATCTATTTCATTCGTCTATCTGATAATACCAAAAGAATGAACGCTCACTATAGGTTAGGCACTATTCTTGACACTTGGAATACAGTTTTGAGCAAGTATATATACTCTTTCCCTTAAGGAGTTTATTGCCTAGTGGGGTAGAAAGAGGAATAACACAAATAAAAGAAAAAACATAATTATAATAAATCTTAAAAATGAAGGGTTCATGGTGCTGAGAAGATAGAATGAAATTGCTCTATCCACTGAGCCAAACCAGCTAGGGCTACATGGGAAAGATAATGATTTTGTTGAGAGAGATGATTCTCCTGTTTGTTGTGAGGTTGACATGTTTGTGAATGTGATAGTCAGACAATTTTTCTTTTTCCTCACAATTTACATTGTATTATTTAATCCTTGGCATCTGATTCCTGAATTCATTAATTTGAAATCAAGGTATGGCATTGTGATATTTGTGATATTTCTCCTAAAGCTCTCTATTTTTTTTAAATTTTTTTTAAGAAAAACTTCTCATTCTCCTCCTCTTTCTTGCTAGGTGTACTGGTTAATAATGCAAATTTTGTAATCAAAGAAAACATGATAATTTTAAGAGAAACATCAAAAGTGCTTTATTCAAAGTAATGTCCATCGCTACCTACACATTTCCTCATGTTTCAGGTAATTTGTGGATACCATCCCAATAGAACTTTTTTGTTTTGAGACAAACCATTCAGAGACCCAATTTTCCACTTCTTCGTACGTTTTCAAGTGCTGCTCAGAAAGTGCATGTGCCATTGATCTGAACAGGTGGTCATCTGAAGGAGCAAGTTCTGGTGAATATGGTGGGTGGGTTAATACTTCCCAGGCAAGATCTTTTAACGTGTCTTTAACTGGTTTTGAAATGTGTGATGGTGTGTCATCATGAAGCAAAATTACTTTGCCTTGGCTTCTGGCACATTCTGGTCATTTCATGATCAAAGTGTGGTTCAAATTGATTATTTGTTGTCAGTAGCAATCAGTATTAATGGTTTCACCTGGTTTTAGAAGCTCATAATATCACACCTTCCTGATCCCACCAAATGCAGAGTATTGTCTTCTTTCTGAATCAATTTGGCTTTGCAGTTGATGTTGATGGTTGACCTGGATCAACCCATGATTTTGTGCATTTGGGATTCTCAAAATAAATCCACTTTTCATCACCAGTCACAATTCAATGCAAAAAAGATTTTCTTTCATGCCACTGAGCCAACATTTTACGATGACTTTTCGGTTTTCCATGTGTCTTTTGTTCAATTGGTGTAGCACTAATTTTCCTTCCTTTAAAATCTTTCCCATTGCTTGAAAATGATTGCAAATTATTCACTGAGAAACGTTTAATCTTTCTGAAAGTTGTTTTTGAATTTAACATGCATCTTCATTCAATAATGCTTGTAATTGTTGGTCTTCAAACTTTTCTGATTGACTTTGACATTCTTTGTCTTTCACATCAAAATCATCACTTTTAAACCATTTAAAATCAGCGTGCATAAGTATCTTGAGATGGAGCATGTTCACCATAATCTTCCCAAAGTATATGATAACTTTCAGCAGCACTTTTCTTCAAAATAAATGAATTAAAACTTCCTGCAAATGTTCTTTTCATGGCACAAAATTAGGCATTCTTAAGTGTAACAATATCTATTATGTTAACAGCTTCAGAAAGTTGACATTTGAAGTTTTGAAGCTTGTTGTCAATACAACATATCAAATAACATTTATATCAACATATGTGTAACTCCATCTATTGAAAAAATACATTATTATCCAGTACACCTTGTACTCTATTCAACAGGTCTATCATTCAAAATTTGCATGTCATCCTTGAGCAGGGGCCATGCTAATCTCTGTATCGTTCCTATTTTAGTATATGTGCTGCTGAAGCGAGCACTATCATTCAAAATTGAAGATGAAATCAGGAGCTTCACAGACAAAAACAAGAAAGAAAGAAAAGGAAGAAAAAAGGAGTTTATCATTATTAAGCCAGCAATGCAAGAAATGTTAAAGTGACTATTGTGAAAAGAAGAGCTAGAAAGCCCTGGGCCAGATGGCTACACAGGGGAGTTTTACCCAAACATTCAAAGAACTAAAACCCATCCTCCTCAGCCTATTCCAAAAAATTCAAGAGGAAGGAAAATTTTCAAGCTCCTTCTATGAAGCCAGCATTACCCTAATCCCAAAACCAGATAAAGACACTACAAAGAAAGAGAATTACAGGCCAATATCCTGATGAACAAAGTTGCTAAAATCTTCAGCAAAATTCTAGCAAATCAGATCCAGCATTACATTAGAAAGATCATACACCATGACCAAGTAGGATTTATTATGGGGATGCAAGGCTGGTACAATATCCACGAATCAATACATGATACATCACATAAACAAATTGATAGATAAAAATCACATAATCATATCAGTTGATGCAGAAAAAGCATTTGACAAAATTCAATACCCTTTCTTGATAAAAACTCTCAGCGAAGTGGGAATAGAAGGATCATACCTCAACATAATAAAAGCCTTATGTGACAAACCTACAGCCAACATTATACTCAATGGGAAAAAACTAAAACCATTTCACCCAAGAACAGGAACAAGACAGGGATGCGCACTCTCACCAATCCTGTTTGGCATAGTATTAAAAGTGCTAGCCATAGCAATCAGTTAAGAAGAAGAAATTAAAGACATCCAAATTACAAAATAAGAAGTAAAATGGTCATCATTCGAAGATGACATGATATTGTACATAAAAAAACTCTAAAAACTCCATCCCATAGATCCTCCCTTCCCCCAACTGAGGAACAGAGTATGATGTAATCTGCACCTGCGGCCTGGACATTCCTGAGCACCTAACCAGGCATCTTAAATGGACTGTACATTGAACCACCAATCAGCACCTACCAAATATCCTAAGCCCCCAATTCCTAAGTACCTAAGTGCCTAATCATGTGCCTTGTATGAAACCACCAATCAGTGTGTGCTGAGTACCCTAAGCCCCATTCCTTCCCATTCCTTCCCTCGAAAGACGTGTTCACCTCTGCAAGTGCGCTCTCTTCCTTAGCAAGAACTTAATAAAAATTAGGAAGGAAATAAAAGAGGTCATATCTCTGAAAACCATTTCTATTTCTGTTTATCAGTATAAAAATTTATTACAGTGCCCCTCTCCTTATCTGTGGTCAACCATGTTCTGAAAACATTAAATGGAAAATTACAGAAATAAACAATTCTTAAAAGTTTTAAATTGCATGCTGTTCTGAGTAGGGTGAAGAATCCCACTCCATTCAACCTGGGAACACAGCCCTTTGTCCAGTGTTCCAATGTTTGTGTTCAAGTAACCCTTAGAGTAGTAGTCTAATGCTTCTTCACAATACCTGCATCATATACTTTACTTTATCTCATCATGTAGGCATGGTATCATCTGACATCATCACAAGAAGAACAAGGGAGTATAGGACAATAAGATAATTTGACAGACAGATACCACATTTGTGTGACTTTTATTATAGTGTGTATGTGTATATATATATATATATATATATATATATATATATATGCCTAAGCTGAATTCTTTCCTAGCCAGAACTCAAGTATTGAGGTTGCTGAACCCAGTTTCAGTCTGACCCTATAGATCTAACACTCAGTGCCATTTCTACTAACACAGCATGACTTTCTATACCCATTATTTGGAAAAACTTACTTTGCTCTCCAGACAAAATATAATAATATTTCTAAAAATAACCCTTGATACTGTCATCAGTAGAAGCACTGAATGAAAAAAGGAGAGACCTGGTTCTACCTCTTAGCCTGATCTTCCTTAATGCGTGAATTCCCTTAGGCTTCCTGATGAATTGTATAAGATGATCTCTTTCAGTTTTAAGATTCCATATCTGATTTCTAAACATCTTAGCAAAGGGTGGCCTCTCACCCTCAGATAGGGGAACCCCCCGGAGAGCCACAGAGAAGCTGGCCCCCAGCAAAGAGCCTGGCCCACATGCTCAATTACTACATCTCTGCAAAGAGATGGCCTGATCATCTGATTCATAGGAATCTTGGATGTCTCCCTGTGTTCCCTTTTAAGTCAAAGGTCAGTGATTTCCCCATGTCCTGCCCCTGACACAGAGGAAGATGAGAAACACAGAAGCAACAGGGTTTGGGACTCTGGCACCCGAGACAAATGGAAGCAGGGTGTAGTGAGTCACATCTTTGTGTTCCCAAGCCCTTGGGACCCCATGAGCCCTGGGAAACAGATGAGGCAGCAGAGTGAACTTCTGAAAGCAGTTCTAACTAAGTCTGCCTTCCAAGAGGAAGCAAGGGGCTTAGGCAGATAGTTGGAAATATTCAGTGCTCACAAGGACTTATTGACCATGGTGTTTCAGAGCAAGACAGTAGGCCACAGAACTTAAGGGAGACGAAAGATCTGTTGGTAAGGAGGTGAGTCTATATCTCAACTCTGTGGCCAGATACAAGTGGATTTCAGAGCCTTAGCTTCCTCAACTATGAACTCTTTATATATATATTTGTATTGATTTAAGAGAGGAAGGAGAGGGAGAGAGAGATAGAGATAGTGATGAGAGAGAATCATTGATCGAATGCCTGGTAACCCCATACTGGGATCAAGCCTGCAACCTGGGCATGTATCCTGACTGGGAACTGAACTGTGACCTTCTGGTTCATAGGCCTACACTCAACCACTGAATCGCACCAGCCAGGCCAACTATGAAATCTTTATTACTCACCTGCTCTCTTTCATAGAATTGCTATAAAAACTATATTACTGGTAAGAAAGCAAATGCAAACAGTTCCTTATGTGTACATATCAGCAATGATATCTCAATTTTGGAATTGAAATTGGGTCTCAAAAGAACTGTTGGCCAAGAAAGAAACTCACTACAGACTGATTCATAAGCCTTTCAGCATAATGATTATTGCTTGTCTCATTTTTTTATTCTTATATCTCCAGTAGTACATGATCTCACTCATCTAGGAGAAATGGTGAACAACATAGATTGATGAACAAGAACAGACCCAGAGATAAGGAGCCATGGGTCTGACTGTTGGACCTCAAAGGGAAGGTGGGGATAAAAGGGAGAGATCAACCAAAGGACTTATGTGCACACATGAGCCTAACCAGTGGTCAAGGACAATAGGGAGGTGGGGGCATAAGTAGGGAGGGGTGGGGGATTGGAATGAGAGGTTGAGGAAAAATATGTGATACCTTAATCAATAAAGAAATTAAAAAGACAGAAAGAAAGCAAATGCAGTAAGGACTAATTTCTCAGTGCACATCCTAGATTATCTCCATAGCAGACATAAACTTTATTTTGCCTTATTGAATTCAACGAGAAACGTCACCATTAGAGTAAGCGTGGATACATTCTTTCCTTGGTCCTCATTCCCATGGAGTGATCCTTGCACAGAATTCTGCTGGGACCAATTGTGGAAAAGGAACAAAGGATGAACAGAGGGCCATGAGGGACAGGCTCTGAACTAGTAAAGCCCAAACTCTGGAGAAGCTGAAAGGCTCTGAGCTCAGTGTAACATTCTTTTGCGCGCTCCTTCTGTTGTCAGCCATGCAGAACCCCGGAAATGGTTTTTGGATCGTGGATCTTTGGAATGTATTTGTAGGAAACTTTTCCCTATAAACAGAGCTATCTTGAGAATGTGCCGAATCACGGAATCTGTCCAGGGCCCCCAGAGAGCCAGGGAAATAGATGTGATGGGTAAACAAACTGGTTTTGTCACTTGTGTATTGTCGTTGAAGGCCATTTCTTACACCGATGCACAGAAAGAAAAGGGTGTTTTCAGACACATTGTCTTTTTATTTCCCCCTTAACCTTTATTGAGCTCTTACTATGTGCTTGGCACTGTTTAAAGTACTTGTATGTGCTATTGTGTTCATCCTGTGCATTTAATCATGTCAATTTCCATAACCACACTCCCTCTCCCTTTATTATTAGAGCAAAAGGTAAAATGTTCCCGCATCCTCTCAAGTCTCCTGTTAGTTGGCTGGACAGAGAGCAGCCATAAAGCTCCCTGTGCTTCTCTTGCCAGCCCCACAGCCATTAGAGTAGTTTCGGAGAAGGTCCATGGAGCTCCACATGCTTCTGTCAGAACCCCCACCCTCTATCTATCGATAGCACGCACAACCTTCCCGTCACAATCTGCCAAAATGCACCAGGACTAATCTCCTCATGCCCCATACTGGTCAGCTGCACAACTCCTGATCATTTCTCACTGCCAGACCCCTTGCCCAGATGGCCCTCCAACCCCCTCCTACCCCCCTAGTCTGGCCCAGTGCCCTCTGCAGCCTGTTTCCATTCATTAGGAAATGCCATTTAGTCCTAACCTGTTCCTGAACTTTACCTTCACTTGCTTGGTCTAACGCAGTGGGTTTTATCCCTGGCTGCACATTAGAATTGCCTGTAATGCATTTAAAAAATTACAGACATTTAAATGCATTCCCTCTCTCCCAATAATTAAGTCAGAATTGAGGGAGGGGGTGGAATTTAGGCATTAAAAAAAAAAGTTTAAACAGAAAGGGTTTATTAAAGGATAAATACTGGGTCTCCAGGAGAGCCAGAGCACTGCCTGGGTCTGCTGGGCAGCCAGGAGCAAAGCTGAACCCTACTTTGGGGGGCTGCCCTGGAAAGAGGGATGTCAACACTGCTACCTTCACCAGAAAATGGAGTCTGCTCACTGCATGCTTTCCCATGGCCCTCACTAACACTGGGAGTCTTCTTTGAGGGAGGGGGTGCTAATGGACAGTAGAATTGAACTTTGATGTACTAGAGGCCTGGTGCATGAAAATATGTGCACTGGGGGAGGGAAAGTGGGGGTCCCTCAGCCTGGCCTGCACCCTCTCACATTAGGAAGTCTTTAGGGGGATGTCCTACT